CCAAACCCCTGATCCAAGAGGCAAGAAAAGTTCCCTGATAGAAAATTGGCTGCATTTGAGAGTTTGTTGCCTTTAGCCTTTCATAGAACCCAATAAACTTCTCACAGAACCCTAGAATTTTGTACAACACAGTTTTAAAAAGCCTGATCTAGACTAAATTGCTTAAAGATTAGGGTCTATTGAAATCAGGCTGAAGACCAAGATGAAAATTACTCTTGCTTAGATCACCTTGCAGGAAAATTTTAGCTGGAATGCTTTCTTTCTAACCTAGTGTGATTGAAGGCTAGTCCAGTGTGTCACCAAGAAGGAAATGTGTAGTTAAATTTAAATGATGGTTATTTTCTCTCCTCTTCTCTTTCTCCATGTAACACAGGCTCCCAGGTCTGGCAGCAGTCTGTTGCCTCAACTTTGGATACCTACCTTGTCATTGAAGATCTCACGCCTGGCTGTCAGTATCAGTTCCGGGTTAGCGCCAGCAATCCCTGGGGAATTAGCTTACCTAGTGAGGCCTCTGAGTTTGTGAAACTCCCAGAATATGGTGAGCTCTTGGTTCACAAAGGAGAGGATGCTGATTTCCAGAATAGAAAAGTCCACTAATGTAACTCTTCAGATTTCTAGACTGGAGTCCCTTTTTCAAGAATCAAAATTTCCTGGGAGTTCATGCTTCACATGGTTAATACTGTGTAGCCTGCTACAAAAACCTGGAGGGGAAATACCTGCACTTCATGTGTTCTAACAAGTCTTCCTATGTTTAAATCACTTTATTTTGGTGCAGCTGATGTTTTGAAAGGAGTGCAGCACAGGGCTATAATACTTACTTTGCTTGTAGCTATCCCGTGAATAATTGAAGAGTTTCAAAAGGGTGCTTTGATTTGACAGAACTTTGATTGATGCTTCCTTCAAAGAGAAACAACATCCCAGGTCAAATTGGCCATTCCAAGTTCATGTACAGACTTTCCTCTAGACTAAAGCAGTGGATTGTCATGAATTGACCCCCTTTGGATTGAAATGTCAAAGTGGAGCGATTTGCTTTTTCAAATGGAGGCACTGCTTTGAATCAGACTCCTTCAATGACCCAACTTGAAGCAATACTTCAATTAGATTACAGCCAATCTGCACTCCTCTAGAGCTTAATATCTAATATTGTCATTTGAAAAGGTCTCAAGAGAGCTGGTTTCACCATTAGGCAGAGTGAATCAGCCACCTTAGGCAATAGATGTTTAGCACTGTGAGGAACTGTTCGTTATTTTACATACAGGTACCTCTGGAGAGGTTTTTTTGTTGTTGTTGTTTTTAAACCTTTTTAACCATCTTCTAACAAAGTCAAAATGAAAATGGCACCACTGATAGGTTTGCCTCAGGGAGCAAAGTATCTTGTGCCAGTTCTGGCTCTCTCCACCTAATCAAGAACTGTTGCCAGTCAAAATAAGGATCTATGGTTTAAATCAGCATAATGCATGCTACTGTAACATGGTACCTGTCTTCAATTTTATTTAATAAAACAGCGATTTACTGATCTCATAGAAACACAGTAATTGCTCAGATATTCTCTGTCCATATTAATTAACTTTAATCACTATGAGGCATTTCATCCCATCCTAGGTATGTATTTCTTGATACAGCAACTTGCAGTTTTAGAAAGGAAAACTTTCTAACAAAACCTGGTTCTAAAGCTGAGACAAAGTCTTCACTGAAGTTCACTTTATTTAATTATGAATATACTACCGCAATCCAAGTGGACTGTAGGTAGTTTACAACTTATATAAGTTACAGTAATAATATTAATACAGTAATAACAAATACAAGCAATGTGTAATTGTAATAAAAACTAAACTAAAACAAAAATTTATATTGATGGCTCCAGAAAAATCAAGTCTTTCCAGCTTTCTGAAAGGCCCTAAGGGTGCGGCCCATTCTCACCCTTAGAGAGAGCACCCCTCCTTTGGGCCCACTCCCATCGCACTCCTGATAGATGGGGACCCAGAGAAGGCATTCTCTGACTGTCCAGGTTAGATGGACAGATTTGATCATATTGTGATCTTCCTCAGTCTTGCTAAGACACAAGGGCATTCTTGATGGACAACACTGGAGTGATGCATCACTCACCTGCCATCACTGGGAAATCATTGCTGTTTGTTATGGCGGCTGCTGCTACTGCTGCTGCTGCTAAAGTACTCATTTTTAAAAATAACCAAATAACAATGATTATATTTGTTTTACAATTCTACTTGTTTTACAATTGTTTTACAATTTTACAATTCTCTTTCCCAACCCATCTGGTTTCACAAAGACTCTGCAGCGGATGGTGCCACCATTACTTGGAAAGAGAATTTTGATTTTGCCTATACAGAGCTGAATGAAATTGGACGGTAAGGAAGCAATTTCACAAAAGCCAAACATAAGGAATCTTCCCTTCAGAAAATGTAGAGAATATATAATTACACATTGTTATCATATTATCACTGCAATGGAAGTCTCTCCATAGCAACCACAAAAATCTATGAAAAAGTCACAGCTGCTTTAATGAGTCACAGACACTGTATTCACACTTTCATGTGTTGCAAAACATCTCTTCCCAGCTGAATCTGAAGCACTACACTGCATAACATCATACGTGCACACATATCCTCTCTCCATATCTTAACTCATTTATTAAAATGCTTAAATATCTATTTGGACTTGGATCTAGTTCCCAGTGTGATGAGCTACATTCACCAGGATTCACTCTTCCCTTCTACCTTCTCTTACTAAGCCCCATCACTACTGTACATGCTATTATTTGCAACAAGAAGCCATTCTGACATACTTTTTTTAACCGTGCTATGTGACTAAGTCACAAGTGGATGGTTTCATACAGTGCTCTAAGCCATAAACCAGCATTTACAAACCACAGTGGTTGGTCTAGTGAAGGAAAACATATGATGGCCTAGTATGATGCATAAATGCAGGCTCTGTGTTACTGCTTTCTCTAAGCTAACCTTAGATGTGCTCCTGTTAGAAACCTGTAGAGCTAGGGCCAGAAGAGGAAACAATCACCTGGAGATACAGAAAGAAGCAGATAGAAAGAAAACAGTGCTGACCAAATCTGGGCACAGGATGCTTAGGGCAAGGGAAGCTGCTGCTGTGTTAATACAGAGAGAATTATTTGCCCTTCTGATGAGCAAACTGTGCATGATTTGGGACTGGCATACAGTTCAGTAGAAACAACGTATTTTCCCCTCTCTCCTGGCTATGGTGGGCAGTTAGGATGGAGGGTGCAAAGCTCTCCTGGGGTTTATGATAGGGGCTTGGGTACCTTTGTGGTACATTGTCCGTGGTATCTATCTGTGAGCATATGCATACAGAGACAGTCCAGAATGTTAACTTTAAATTTACAATCTGATTTTGGGAAGAAGAGGCAGTTTTCTGAGACAAGGCTACTCAGAATTCAGCTTCTGATTCCCAGCTAGAATCTCTTATAATAGATTCATTGAAAAAATGACTTTATTGGTTCTGCTTTTTCCAAAAGAATACATTGCCAGGACAGAAGACAATAAATGACTTGTAAAGTTAATAATTCAAATGAGTTTAAAAAGCGTTTAAAATGTATTGATAGCGAGCTAAAAAAGATTCATTTTTTATTCACAAGTTCTCTTAATGATCTTAATTTTCCAGGGGCCGATTTGCTGTTGTAAAGAAATGTATTCATAAAGCTACAAGGAAGGATGTTGCAGTGAAGTTTGTCAATAAAAAAATGAAAAAGAAGGAGCAGGCAGCACATGAAGCAGCCATGTTGCAACACCTGCAACATCCTCAGTATATCACCATTCATGACACTTATGAGTCACCTTCTTCCTATATCTTAGTTTTAGAACTGTAAGTCCTTTGTGGAAGCTAAGCCGCTTATTTCTTAAAACAAGTAACTTATTTATCTATTCAATCAAACTGTACATCTCACTGTTTTCATGAAAGCTGTTTCATTTCCCTGCAGGAGGAAAATGACACAAGAGCACATTTTGTATAGGTGTGGTTCAGAAGACGCATTTTAAGTTGCTATGAAATGGCATGATCTAAATACAGAGTTCATTATATTAAATCTGATATATGAAAATGTAATATCACAAGTCTTTAGTACACTTTTTAATAATTGTCAACCTTTTTCCTTTTTAAAAATGCCATTCTACTCAGAGATACATTCTGCTACTAGCATGACTTAGATTTCATGAGACTTCTTTTCATAATGGATTATTTTGGGATTTTAGGATGGACGATGGTCGTCTCTTGGATTACCTTATGAATCATGATGAACTCATGGAGGAAAAAATAGCTTTTTATATAAGAGATACGATGGAAGCTTTACAATACCTTCACAATTGTCGAGTTGCTCATCTGGATATAAAGGTAAGAAGGAGAGAGGAAGAAAATGTTAACTGCTGCCTGTACAGTCTTAAGTATCAAATTCTGCTTATTTATGTTCACAGCAGACCAAAATATGGAAGGTTGCTTCACAGCTTTAACCATTTGAAATTAACTTAACGTCTGCATTAGCTTGAGCCATTCTGTATGATGAATTAAACCAAAAGCTTTGTACATGAAGATACTCGCTATCTCCACAACCTGTTGAGTATTTCCCATCTGCCAGTCTCAAATTGTCTTTCTATATCATGTTTGCTTTAAATAAATAATCCTAATATAGACAAGCTTTTAACTGTCTCAGCACCCACCACATTCATCTCAGTTGATAACCATTTAGACATATTAAAAATTTTACATTTTGTGACTTTTAATTGTTCATGACAAATGAGTTGGCAGTGTGATCTGATAAAACTCGTTTCAGTAACATGCAGATTTATGCTAGATGCACCCCCCGAATGTAATGGGAGTGATTTGGACCACAAAGCTACCAGACAATGCTTAAGTGGCTTTACTTTCCATAAAAAAGATGTTTGTTTAAGAAGTAACCCCAGCATATAGACATGTTTCTTTTAATATATTAGATTTTTTTCTCCTAAAAAAGCAGATTGTCATCCAAAGCTGTATCAGTATTAGCTGAAACCTGTTTTTATCACAATAGAAATGGACAATACAGCTTTTAAAATTTATTTGATTTAATTTTAAATTTCCACAGCCAGAAAATTTGCTGATTGATTTACGGATCCCAGTGCCACGTGTTAAGTTAATTGACCTTGAAGATGCTGTTCAAATCACAGGCCATTACCATGTTCATCATCTCCTTGGAAACCCTGAATTTGCTGCTCCAGAAGTTCTCCAAGGTGCTCCAGTTTCACTGGGCACAGATATCTGGAGTCTGGGAGTGCTCACCTATGTCATGCTGAGTGGTGTTTCTCCCTTTCTGGATGAAAGTAGGGAGGAGACATGCATCAATGTCTGCCGAGTAGATTTCAGCTTTCCCAATGAGTACTTTTGTGATGTAAGCCATGCTGCCAAAGATTTCATCAATGTAATCCTTCAGGAAGACTTCAGAAGGAGACCTACTGCAGCCACTTGCTTGCAGCATCCATGGCTGCAGTTTCATAATGGCAGCTATTCCAAAATACCTCTGGATACCTCACGCCTGGCTAGCTTCATCGAACGCCGCAAACACCAATTTGATGTGCGCCCAATTCCCAATGTTAAGAGCTTCATTATGAGCAGAATGAACCCAGGAACGTAACACAGTAACAACTACTTTGATGATAATGGAGCACTACAGCAGGTGAAAATGGAGAAAACAGATTCTCTGCCCCTCTTCCTCTCTGTACAGAGTATTACATTTGATGTGATGTTGAGGAAAGTATGTGTACTGTTTCAGCAGTTACATTATCTAACTAGTTAGAATTAGATGCTTTCTCAGGTTGCCTGTGAAGCGTCTTGGGTGGCTTGTTGTAATTACACGGTCATGTTAAATACAGATGGATGCTTAAAAGAGCATCAGTTGAGAATACAGTAGGAACCAAAATACAGTTACCATATTTCTGAAAGATTTGAAGATCTTTCAACCATCCGAAAGATCTAGACAGATTTGCTGATTACATGAATAGTTAAATGATGTATCTGAAAATCAATCAAAACTGAAGAATAAAACTAGGTGACTATCTACAGTCAGCATTTCTTAAACAAACTGGACTGGATAAATCTTGGATTCGGTGAAAATTGTTATCCTTGAAGTGTTAATTAAGGATCAGAGCTCCCCTACAAGGCAGATTTCATTAATCTTCAACTAGAATTAATCTTGTGGTAAGATTGCTGTTCTTGGGATTCACAGTAACGGTTTTGCCAATGAAGTGATAGATACGTTGTATTGATCAAGATTATAGCAGTCCTTTGCCAATAAGTCTTCTTGGGATGCTACACATTCTTTTGTTCAAGATTAACATACTATAAAGTAGCAACGTGCTACTGCTAAGATAGTAAAGTCATTGAGACAACGAGAAAAACATTTAGACGAAGCACAACAAGACAATTTTTTATTAAATTTTTATAGCTCTTGTACAGAAATCTTTTGTTGAGAAAAAGCTATGTTAAAATAATTGCTGTATCTGTAAACTAGATGTCAAAGACTTTTTCTATTGAAGGATGTTTGTTGAATCCTCATTTAGTCTGTAACATGAAAAGGATCTTATTTCCCTTTCACTTATAAAAGTTGCTCAGTTGTGAAATCAATCCAAAGTTGGCCAAAGTGTGGTAAATATAGTAGGTCCATCTTTATGCTTATGGTTCTGAAATTGGTCTTAGTACATAAGGCTGATAGTTTACTATGATTGTATGCATTTATCTCCTTAGCTCCTTCTCTCAAATATGTATGCTGGTTTTTTTTCATTCAATCCCAAAGCATAGTATGAAGTAACTCAACATTAATATTAAAAGTCATTGCAATATTACATTCTGATTAGCCAAGCACCCGATAATGTAACAGCCCTTTAACAACCATTTCAAATTAAGTGGCTTTGGAATAATAGTTCCAAGTTGAAGTATTCTTTCACTGTCATTGTAAGACTGTTCCAACATTGAACACCCCAAGAGTATTTTAGTACAGATAATGAATTATTCATGGCCTTGCTGTATCTAAATTCTTTAGAAGTCAAATCAGTCAAAACTTCCATCTGTTTTTCTCCTTTTCCCACTTCCCCAACAATTAACGTCCTATATGCCTTGGGGTACGCTGATTTATTTAGTAATTATCAGCAGATATGATGATTGCTACTTCTTACTTGCAGGGATAATGGGCTCCTGTTGTCAGATCACAAGATGCCAATGATTTGGGGATATCATATCGCCACTTGTGATACAAAAACTCCTGGTACAATATTTTCAAGGCCAAATGTATTGTTTTGCAAAAAGATAAAGTAAATCTCATCATCCTGGGAAAAGCAGGGAATAATAAATGTTTTTATTATTAAAACATTATTAACATCCCTCGGCAGGACAATACAGATAACTAGGTTACCAAATGATTACATATACACTGTGATAAGCTGACATTTGGTAACTTTGTTGGTATTCTGTCAGTGGCATCAAGGGCTTTTCTCTCAGAGCCACAAGGCAGAGTACTCTTGCACAGTTGAAAGTTAGGAAAAATCTGGCAACATTTCTTGCAATTTTCTAATGAATATTTTGACAAGAATATATAGAAGACAAATTCAATTCCAAAAACGAAAAGTGGGGCAAAGATAACTATAATACAGAGCGAGTATCAGATTTCTTTTATGCAGTAAGCATTGCTACTTTCCTCCTTGTTCTTCTCCACAGGGGTACGCTTTCCAGGATAGATTAAGCATCTATATCTCTTCTGTCTTAAAAGGATTGGGTCTGTGGTCAAGAATACCAAAACAGGAAGAACTTAAAATTTGTAGCATGATAGGTTTAATAGATTAATTTTTTGTTCTACCAGCAGGAGCATCATTGAGCAAAGTTCCATCTAGAAGACTCCTATAGAAAAGAGTGACTCTTGCTGATTCCACACTCGGTCCAGGGCAAAGCTCCTAGTCCTGTTTCTTCACTCTTCCAGGGGTTTCCTCAATCTTCTGAAACAGATTTTTTTCAGGGGAGATATGGACCTGCTGGAATTGGGAGGAAATGGCGAAATATTTTCTCCCCTATTCTTCTGGTGGAAAATCTTCAGTGAGTCCAAAGCCTCCTGCTTACTGAAGGAATCCTTCTGTTACAGATTCCAACAAAGAGCCTATGATCTGTTTCAGATATAAGAATCTCAGTCTATAAACTAAGAATTCTTGGACTAAGATCCTGGTTTGATATTGTTTTATCTATTTTATTTTGTAGGGAGCTTACACCAATCTTTCTCAGACATTGTGAAATATACCTTAAGAAATAAGAAAACATTCACCAAATGAGGGGAAGGGAAATAACAAGGATTGAACTTGCGGGCACACAGTTCATCTTGTCTGAACTGGCCCAATGTGGGAAAAACTATAGCCTCTGTTACAAAGACATTTCCAGTGTTCCTTGGAGACTCCCTCTCTTGCATCGTTTTACTTGGTGCATGCTCTCTATGATTAACAAAAATTACAGTTCTGTAAGGCTCACGTCATGTTTAATAATAATTCTAAATCAAATTAACAGGGCTATTTCCCTATTATTTCCCCCTTTTTCTATCAAACTTGTCCAAACAAGAGCTGTATATGTTTTTGTTTCTTGCCTCACTAGATAAGTAATAATCAATAGAGAAAAGGAGAACAATCAGTACAGAAAATGAATTGATTTTAGGGTTTTTGGCTATTAAGTATGGATTAACTATGTAGAGTGCCTTTCATAGAAAAAGAAGGCAAAGTCCTTTTTCTTTAAATACAAGATGTTCATTTTTCCATTACCTATTTTTCTCCAGAAACTTGCTGTACTTAACATCAAAGCAACCATCATATGGTGCAATGATGTCATAATATGGAATGTGAGATAAGATCAATTCCTTGTTGCCTTTAGCAACTATTTCTAAAAGGCACTGACAATCATCTGAAGGTGTGGCATGTAGGCTCAGGTAAAAACAAAGGCCAAGATTCAACTGAAGTTGGATCCTGAAATCTCACCCATTGCTTTTATTGAGATCTAAGCTGCACTGCTATATATATTTACTAATGAGTAAGTCTTGCTGAAAATAATGCTACATACTTCCAAGTAAAGATATTTAAAATAAAGTGGCACATTATGGGTAATTTTAGCTAGACTGGAACCAATATAATGAAAGCATCACAATTTTATTTATGGATGTAACGTGTCAAATATCCCCTTTCTTCAAGCTGTGGTAGCCATTAGCTTCACAACTGCCTTCCTGGATCTCCAGTTCTGTTACTCTACATTAGTGTTCCTCAACCTTGGCATCTTTAAGACGTGTGGAATTCGGATCTTCCCACATAACCCCACCCACACCAAGGGCGGGGGGGGGGGGGGGGGGGGGGGG